CCCCAAAACCCCAAAACCCCAAAACCCCATATCTTAGAGAATAAATTGAGTTATAATAATTTAGGAGGACAATGGAGAGGTTGGAGAATTTGAGTGAGAGGTAATGGGAGGAATGGAGCCGTAAGGGAGAAGAGGGTGGGTATTTTGAAGGTTTAAAGGGATTTGAAGAGGATTGGGGGGTTTAGAGGCTAGATGAATTAGAGGGGCTGGGAAGGGTTCTAATTGTGAGTGTATTGAGGGTTAGGAGTTTTTGAGTTTTGGGTAGAGATATTCAGTCTTTTATACTTCCTTCAAGCTTTAGAGCAATATTTGCTCATTAGTAAGCCAAAATTTTATAGTTTACATAATAGTTTTCTAAATCATGCGATTCCAATTTTTTAAATGATTCTTCTTACTTACCCCTTGAGATCATCGCTTGAACCTTTATAATAAAAGATACCAGACCAAAACTTGAGCTAATCTGGACTGAGGATTACTTGCACATTTTTGCTTAATTTCAAAATTGACCAAATCGTGTATCTATCCAATTAAGATGCTAGTAAACCCTTTCAATCACTAGTTCCACTTCTATATTTGGTTTAGCCTTGGCTGATGTATCTAATTCTTTAGGAGAGAGAAACTAGTATTGACTCAAAGCAACAGAATAGATAAGATCTTAACAAATGCGCATTATTCTTATTGTTTTTAAGAAGAACTAGAGGCTGAAGATTCTGAGGATGATCAAAAAGCACTCAACTATCCTAAAAGTTTGATATTTCGTCATTCCACACCTGGAAATCAAAATTATATTAAGAAATCTAGCTTCTTGACATCCTTTAAGATTGCAAGTGTTTCTTTATTTGGAATAAATAACAAGAATAAAAGATATAAGAAGTTTTTAACTTCATCATTTCCCTTAGAGGTATCCAGATTATATATTAATTCTTGCAAAGTTCCTTTAAAAGATGTTTTCCCTGCCTTCAATGCGATTATGGGAATCAGTTCAAGAGTATGCCGCGAGATACTAATTAGTACTCTCAAGATCAATGCTAGTCGGTTTAAAAGAGTAGTTGCCGCTTTTAAGCATGTTCACCTAATTAGATTTTCTCTTTGTAAAATTTCAATCCCCAAAGCCTTTAACCTTTCACAAGCATTGAGAAACACAAAAATCAACATATTTGATTGTTCTTACTGAGGAAATTCTAATTACTGTGGTTGGAAGAATAACCCCCAAGAATTTGCAAGCTTAATTAAAGCACTTGTTACTTCCCCCGATTTAAAGCTCAGCCTTCAGAGAATAGAGGCTTATCATTCATGCATATCAATGAGTAAAATCAGGAAGATTCTAGATGCAAACAGCTTTAATAATGTTGATATAATATCCTAAAATGTTCCATAACTTTCTCATCCTCTCTTGTCGCATCCAATGCCCAATCTTTTCAACCATCTGCTGTCCTTCAGGGGTTTTGGGGTTTTGGGGTTTTGGGGTTTTGGGG